GTGACACATCGCGCCCCGCCCCCTCGGGACCAACGGCCGCGGCTCCCCCCGGGGGGGCGGGGGACGAGGACGGAGCCGGGGCGGGGGGGCGCGACTCACGCGTCAAATTTGTTGTTCATCCTCGCTCGCCGCCTCCGCCTGCCTCGGCCTCAGGTCCTTCCGCTCCTGCGGGGCCGCCCCCGTCACCCGCCCGCGCGCCACTTCCGGAAGCGGAACCTTCCAGCCGGGGCGCGAGTTTCCGGGGGGGACGCAATAGCCGCCGAGCACATAGTGAGGGAATGTCAAAGCGGCTCGTCCGCCATCTTGAGTGTGGCACCTCTCCTCCCGGCAGCCATGTTGAGTGTGGGAGAGCCCTGCCCGGCGCCATTTTCAGTGTGGCAGGCCCACCGCGGGAGCCGCCATGTTGGGGGGGGGCTGCGTGTGACGTCGCGAGCGGCCGTTGGAGGGCGCCGCAGCCTTCCCGCCAAAACGGGGTGGCCCCAACGGTCGTGTGGGTGCTCGTGGCTCCGTGTTCGTGCTCTGAGGGAGTAGGTCCCTGCCTTAGTTGTGAGGCGCTGCAGCTTGCCTGTTTGCCCACGGGCCTGGGAATGAAAACCAGCCATGGCTAACAACTGCTCGCCTGGGTGGACGGAAGATTTTGAAAAGGGGGCTGTGGAGAGCGAGGTGCCTCATCCCGTCTGAAAACAACACGCAGCCGGAAGCTTTGACTGATACGCCAGGCTGCACCACGCAGGCGACGATCGCAGCCAAAAACACCTACGGCTTCATTGGACCGAGTTAGAAGCGAGGTGTAGGGCCGTGAAAGAGGAGCTTGGCTACCAGGAGTGGCAAACAGGCCGTGGCATTGGGAGAAGGAAGGACCGTTTGATTGGTGGAACGTCAAAGACGGGGTTATTATTGCCTCTGGAAGGCAGGGTTTAAAAGGGATCGTCTAGATTATAAGGAGCCATAAATGATATGGACTCTGTCGCTGCCGGGTTAGAAATGCTGCAGGCACTACCAGGGGTGTATTTGGTAGCCATTGGCGATGCGTAGGGGTGCACGCGGGCGCACATGCACCCCCTGGGATTGGCCGCGTGCCCCCTGGAAGCACCAGCCGCAAATTGGAAGCGCACTTCCGGTTTCGCCGCTGGCTCGGCGATCGGCAACTGGAGGAACCACCCCCGGCTGGAGGTACCAGTTGCCCATGTTGATAGCCATATTGGTCTGCACCAATGCAGGCCATCCCCACCCCTCGGATTTGCCCCCGGTTGCTTGTATTCGTTTTCTCTCTACTAGGGAAATAGTAGTTCTGGACCAGCTCATGCCAACCTCCAGCCGAGCAGCTGTGCCGTGCACCGCAGGGACGGGGTGGCTCTTTGGCTTGATGTTGAGATCCGTGTGACAAGCAGACATGGTTTGTTAGCTCGCTGAAAGGAATTTTAGGGACTCGGCACAAGGATTGTTGGTCAGACAACAACTGTAATGTGTTAAGAGACAAAGGGTTTGCAAAGCAGTGGTTTCCAAATGCCAAGGATGCCGTTCGAGAATCCGAAAACCACTTCCCAGCAGGTGTCTGGGAAGACAGAAACTTAACGAGGAACAGCACACATTTTATAGGGTTGGGGCTGCAGAATGAACCCTACGATAGGCTTCTTGTTGATTTCCTTCACTCCTTCCGGCAGCCGAAAGGTGAATGCTCTCAGCAGACTGGAGAACATGATAAAGAGACTTGTTTTTGCCAGCTGTTCTCCCAGACAGACACGGTGTCCTGCAGGGTGAAGAGGAGAATTTATCACACATATCCTTGCAAGTGGAATTATGCCTCTGCCCCCAAGTTAAGGAAGGATACAATTCATTGGAAATAAATGGCAATGTTTAATGTCTCAGTATGGCTTGATACTGTATAGATGTAGGGAGCACCAGAGGCACTGATCACAGAAAGTTTAAAAAAACAAGAATACATTTGACCTGTTTGTCTTCTGTCGTTGTTTTGTCTCCCATATTCATTCTTGCAACACCACTACAAGGCTGTGCTATTTTCCCATTTTACAGGAGGGAAACTGAGGCACAGAGAAGCTTAGTGACTTGCCTGCAGTCACAGAGGAAGTCTATGGTAGACTGGGGAACCCTGGCGTCTTAGTTTAGCACTCTAACAACTGGACCTCCCATCTCCTCTGCCAAATGGGATCAAGTCAGTGTTCCCAGTCTTAGAAGTCATGTCTACGCTAGGAAAATAGGTTACATTTAGAAGCTACTAATAATGTAACCTGAGTTTCTACACTTCTAAAAATACGTTGATTGGCTGTAGCCACCCCTAGATGGGACTATTATTCTCTGAAAAGTAAGTTTTTACATTCCTTCCAAAACCATTTTCCCTTAAATTACCATGGATATTTGTTGCTCTCGTGTTCAATATCCAGTCTGTTTTTAAATCCTGCTGATTGCTTGCTTGCTCTCCATTTAAATGTGATTGATATGAATACACTCAGTATCTGTCAGAATTCAGTGCTGCCACAAGGAAATACATTTTGCTACCACAATTCCAGATAAATCTGCTAAGAAGCTTCAAAGAGCAGTTAGTCTTAGTTTCTTCAAGAAAGAAAGAAATTATCCGCCGTTGGAGATAGTGCGTTTGTTTTCTGAGCTCAAGACTTTACTGGGGTTTATAAAATAAGATCAGATGAAAGGCTAAATAGATATCAGTCTGTGGAGCAAGTACCCTGCTACACTGGGTGTGATGGGATTAATGTTACCTGCTGAAAATGGCAAAAAGGCTTCTTTGTTCAAAAAGTTTCCATCTTTGTCCAGGAAGTGACTTGGGTTGAACTCTTGAGGGGTCTCCCAATGGTCAGGATCATAGAGAACAGAAAATAAGTTGGGATAAATTAAAGTGCCCTAGAAAGAAAGACAACTCCTTAAGAAAATAAAAAAAAACATTCCCAGCAGAAACATCCTTGGACCTCCTATGGCTTCCTAATGCAGTCTGTCACATCCCTTTAAAAGTGCCTAATGGAAGAACAAGCTAATTTTTACATGTTCACCCTCTGACACATACTACAGAATAGTTCATTAAAACAATTACTTCAGCAGCAAGGTCTTAAGACTGATTCCAAAGAGTCTGAGGATGATAATATACAGCCAAAAATTAGAATGTTTAATTCTGGCAAAAATAAACACCCCAGACTGAGTGTGGAACCCAATTCTAAAGTTGCGGTCAGTGGAGCATGACCTCAAAGACATCTTCCTTGCTATCTCCCAAGGAGCTATCTGTTAAGTCTCATCTGCTTGGGAAGGTATAAGGTAAGGAATAAATTTAAGGAATATATTTCTATTGGTAAAATTCCTTTTATTCTAGAATATGTGCCTTTTTCCATTTAACTTATGTAGTTTTGCCTTTGGTTTCAATGGTGCCCAACATTTTAGCTCCATGGGTGAGTTGAGTGGCACAGGGTTGGTCTGTGGCCTGGATCCTGTGTGGGGTTGATCTATATGTGCGATCTAAGCACTCTAGCCCAATACTGGGTATCCCAATCTGGCCAAGTGCCAGCCTAACCTCATGTGCCCCAATCTGGCTGAATGCCGGCCTGACCTCCCCTGTATCCAACCTAGCCGAGTGCGGGCCCGCCCCCACGTGCCCCGATCTGGCCGAGTGCAGGCCCGACCCCACGTGCCCTAACTTGTCTGAGTGCTGGCCCAACCCGACCCTGTGCACCTGGATCTTGCCATGTACCAGCCCAACCCTGTGTACCTTGATCTGACTGTGTCCTGTAGTGATCTATCACATGCAAGACCATGTTATCTGACCTACAGAACTTGAGGTGGGTCTGGAAATTTGGGAGAAGAGGAGTGGCAATTAACTCTGCCACCATTCTTCTGCTGCCAAATTTTCAGACCTGTGGGGAGCCTTGTGGGCTGTATGACAGCTTTGTGGGCTGCCTGTGGGCTAGAGGTTGAAGGCAGAAGGAAGGTAAAGTTGTGCAGGAGTTAACCTCTACTTACTGAGGTCCACAACCTATCCTGCAACCTATCCAGTACCTATTTTTAATAAAGAGTTTTTTTTACAAATTGTTCAAGCTTACTTGTAAACCATTCCTGCACAAAACACAGAAAAAACATCTATTGTTTAAAAAGGTAAGTGGGAGGTATTGCTGTTTCTAATTTTGCCCAGAGAACACCTCTGAAGTGTGGTAATATTAGCATACCTTACTAACTGGAAAGCCCTGCACAGTTGTGTCCTTGGCACACTTTCGTATAACCCCTATTGCACTTATGCTGCTATACCGCAGAACTTCATGTAAAACTGCATTTGTGTAGGGTAGGATCATTCGGTCCTCATATCGAATTTCACGAGATGAGCCAATAAGAATGTCCAGTTCTTCTTGGACTCGTTCTGCAGGGAGAAATTATCAGAAACCAAAACTTAACAAATTAGTCAAAGCATGGACTCTAGCTTCTCAAAATAAGTCACTGTAAATTGCAGGAATAAATCAGACAACTTTGTCCCTTATTATGCTCAGGAGGCTGGAGGCCAAAGCATTCTCCGCATTCTCCCCAGTGGGGTGGATGAGATGGGCTGGTCGTATTCCCTCTGTCGACTTGCCTTGGGTTCCCATCAGGGATGGGGAACCTTTGTTGCTCTAAAGTTTCTGCTTTTTTCTTTTTTTTCCCTCTTGATGACTCTTCATCCATGGCTATCACTGATTGGTCTCATGGTCATCATACTGTCTACGTTCTGTCCTGTCAGGTTATTCCTTTCTTTCGCAGGCCCATCACATGCACGCATCCTAATTTGGGCTTTTCCAATGTCCTCCTAATTTTGTCTGTTCCTCCAAAACCAGAACTCTCAGGGCCCCCACTCTTGGGCCTTGTGAGCTGGTGCCGCCTTATCTCATGTTATGGAACAGTGTCATATATGCCCACAATTTCCCAGGCTATGTCTAGCCATTGACCTTGTTGTCTTGACACCCTGTCTGCCTTAAAGGCTGTGAGAACTGTTTCTGTGTGATCGGGCCTTTAAAAATTAATTAACCCTTGCAGCTGCCCTGGACTATTGTTCTAATGCATATATAACCTACAAATCAATTTCCAAAAGCAAACCTCTAAATGTAATTTTCTAACCTTCAATAATGTGAACAGTGTTGTCATTAGGGCTGTGCAAAGCTTTGGATCATGATTTGGATTCAGAGATGATTCGAAGGCCAAATCTATTAATCTGAATTGAATCGCAGGAAGCTTAGGCTTTCCGAATCGATTTGGAGCTTCCTAATTGATTCATAAAAGATTTTGAGATTCGGCCATAGGGTATCATGGGGAATCAATGAAATATCTATAACTTTGTTGTCTTTTGGCTGATTCAGATTAAACGGGCAGGGGTGGTAGCCTCTGTTGAGAGCATGAAGCCTGCCCAGTTTCAAGATGATAGGTGCAGGGGTTTCTGGGAAACTGCACCCCAAATTTCTGAAAGCAAAACTCATGTCACGTGTGTGTGTTAAGCCACAGCGGGATCAAAACTGCATGATGCTAGCCCCTGGTGAGGCCACAAAGTCTGCTGAGTTTCAAGGAGATAGGTGCAGGGGTTTGGGGGAAACTGCCTCAAGCTGTGGACAAGCAAAACTCATGACATGGGTGACACTGTGTGTTAAGGCGCAGCAGGGTGAAAGCTGAAGGCCTGCTAGCCCATGCTGAGGCCACAAAGCCTGCCAACTGTCAAGGAGATAGGTGCAGGGCTTCTGGGGCCCTGCACCTCTAGCTGCTGACAGGCAAAACTCACGACATGGCTGCTTGTGCAACTGTGTCTGTCTTGGGGCACGGGGCGGGGAGTTGAAACTACTGCAGGCCTGGCTGCTAGGCTACTGTGTTATCAATCAGTCATGATTCACTCAGGGACCAGCTCCATATGCAGTAGCTAGCTAATGTAATGAGTTAAGGAGCAAAGAGTAACACCTATAAAACCACAGACTAAGGAGAGGAAAGAATCAATACAGACAACTGACCCAAGACAGAGACAGTGAGTTGCACGAGCACCCACGTCATGAGTTTTGTCTGTCAGCAGCTAGGGGTGCAGGGCCCCAGAATCCCCCTGCACCGATCTCCTTGATAGCTGGCAGGCTTTGTGGCCGCAGCAGGGGCTACCATCCCTGCAGCTTTCACCCTGCTGCGCTTTAACACACACAGTGTCACCCATGTCACGAGTTTTGCTTGTCTGCAACTTGAGGTGCAGTTTTCCCCAAACCCCTACACCTATCTCCTTGAAACTTGGCAGGCTTTGTGGCCTTACTAGGGGCCACCACCCCTGCAGTTATCACCGTGCTGTGGCGTAACACATACAGGTGACATGAGTTTTACTTTTAAGAATTTGGGGTACAGTTTCCCCCAAACCCCTGTATCTATCTCCTTGAAACTTGGCAGGCTTCATGCTCTCAGCAGAGGCTACCACCCCTGCAAGTTTCATTCAAATCAGACAAAAAAACAACAAAGTTATAGATATTTAATTGATTCCCCATTATACCCTATGGCCGAATCTCCAAAGCTTCGGAGCTGATTCAGCCAAATCAAAGTGGTGAACAGATTTGGAGCTCTGAATCAAATCGCTGGCTTCCAAATCGGCCAAATCCAAACCCGAATTGAATAGTTCCCTATTTGCACAGGCCTAGTTGTCATCTTCAATCTCATGCTCCAGGACTATGGTTGTCATGGGTGACTTCAACTACCCAGACATCTTGTGGGAGGATCACTCAGCAAAATCTGAGTGGTCGCAAAGTTTTCTATCATGCGTGGATGACCTCTACCTGACTCAAGAAGTCTACGGGCCAACGGGAGATAAAGCGCTGCTTGACCTGGTACTGGCTACGGGGGTTGACCTAATCGGCAACCTAGTGATTGATGGGAAGCTGGGTGACAGCAACCATAAGCTGATCACCTTCACCATCCGCCATAAAGCTGGCAAGTCAGTCAGCAACACGGAAGTCCTTGACTTAAGGAAAGCCGACTTTGACAAGCTCAGGAGGCTTGTCAGTGAGGCCCTACGGGACCACGACCCCAGGGGGAGGGGAGTTCAGGAAGAATGGTTGCTCCTCAAGGGAGCGATCCTCAATGCACAAGCTAATTCTATTCCATCTTGGAGGAAAAGCAGTAAGAGGGCACAGCAGCCCCCCTGGCTCTCCAGGGACCTAGCAGACCTCCTGAGGCTAAAAAGAAAGGCCTACAAAGGATGGAGGATGGGATTCACCTCCAAGGAGGAATATTCTGCACTGGTCCGGTCCTGCAGGGAGCATACCAGGAAAGCCAAGGCTGCAACTGAACTCCAACTAGCTTCAAGTATCAAGGACAATAAAAAGTCCTTTTTCATATATGTGGGGAGCCAAATGAAAACCAAGGGCAACATTGGACCCGTGCTAAACCAGGTGGGACAACTGACTACTGACGCCCAGGAGAAAGCCAACCTATTAAATGGGTACTTTGCATTGGTCTTTCATCAGTCCCATGGGATGCCCATGCCCACTACGGGAGAGGGAGGTCCGGGTGATGGAGATCCCCTGCCCTCCATCAATGCTGACCTTGTGAAGGAACACCTTGAGAGGCTGGATACCTTCAAGTCAGCTGGC